GGACTTCGTGTTGTTAGTCTATTAGTTGGCGTAGATTCTCTCAAGGGAGGATTAAGAGATCCCATTTTTTTATAGCTGAGATCTTTTTGTATATTTTTTTCCCTTTGATTTTTGTAGTTCTCACTTCATCATCGATGATTCACTTGGTTTAATCCAAAGTTTTGTAGAACTATTTGTAGTCATTGACAACGCAACAATCATATATTTTAGTGATGTTTCTTTGAAATTGTTTCTACGTCTGCAGCCTCACATCATTTCTTCTCTTTTCTCTCATCTCATACATTTTCACTCTCATGCCAGTAGATACCACACAACTTTAAAGAGATTCAAAAGAGAGCTCAAAGTTGTGTGGTATCTCTTTAAAGAGATTCAAATGAAGTTGCACATGAATTTTACTTTTTTGATTTTTTATTTGAACATTATATATTAGAAATACCAGGTTTTTACGATATAACCAAATTTAATCTCATTATTTGGAAAATACAGGAATCCAGAGCCGATGGTCTGATTCCACTAGTGTTGACTACTGACTAATAATAAGACAATAAAATAATAATAAAAGGAACACCAGAATTTACGAGGTTCGATCAATTTTGCCTACTTCCTCGGACACAACCAATATTTTATTCCACTCCAAAAATACAAGTGAATAATACTAAAGAGAGAAGATACAAATACCTTAAGAAGATAAGAAAGCAAATGAGAGGTGTGTTTAAATCCTAAACATTATGCCTCCTTTTATAGGGTGAAATTCCCACCCAATTTTCTCCCCAACCGATGTGGGATGTTTTGACATATTCAACAAATTTCTACCTTGACAAAATTCCGCATCTTCAATTTTCTCTCAGTAACAAATTTTGGTTGTGTCTTCATCTTCAATCTTCAGTGTTCAACAATGTTGAAACTTGACCGCAGTCACCACTTTTGTCAGCATATCAGCAGGATTTTCTGTAGTATGAATTTTCTTCACCTTGACTCCACCTTCTTCTATGATTTCTCGTACGAAATGATATCGAACATCAATGTGCTTCGTCCTTGCGTGATAAACTTGGTTCTTCGCTAATTGAATAGCACTTTGACTATCATAAAAAATTGTGATACTTTTTTGTCCAATGCCAAGCGCTTTTAGCAACCCCTGAAGCCAAATTGCCTCCTTCACAGCCTCTGTAATAGCCATGTACTCTTCTTCTGTTGTAGACAAAGCAACTGTTGACTGCAAAGTAGACTTCCAACTAACTGGTGCCTTTGCAAAAGTAAACACATAACCAGTAGTTGATCTTTATTTGTCCAGATCACCCGCAAAATCTGAGTCACAATATCCAACTACAGACTGATTGCATTACTGCTCAAAAACTAACCCAACTTCTACAGTATTATGAATATACCGTAGAATCCACTTCACAGCTTGCCAATGCTCCTTTCCTGGATTGTGCATATATCTGCTAATAACTCCAACAGCTTGTGAAATGTCAGGCCTTGTGCAAACCATTGCATACATCAAGCTACCAACAGCATTTGCGTATGGTACCTTTGACATATACTCTCGTTCAGCTTCATCCATTGGCGACATAGTAGTACTTAGCTTAAAATGGGAAGCAAGTGGAGTACTAACTGGCTTAGTCTTGTCATCTATGCCAAAACGTTGAAGTACTCTCTTCAAATATTCCTTTTGAGATAAACAGAGTTTCTTTGAACGTCTATCTCTAATTATCTCCATGCCAAGAATTTTCTTTGCCTCACCCAAATCCTTCATCTCGAACTCCTTCTTCAGTTGAATCTTCAACTTATCAATTTCTTCCGAATTCTTGGAAGCTATCAACATATCATCAACATATAGGAGAAGATATACAAAGGGACCATTTTCAAGTTTGCGCAAATACACACAATGATCGTATTTGCTTCTCTTGTACCCTTGCCGCAACATAAACTTGTCAAATCGCTTGTACCATTGTCTAGAAGATTGTTTCAATCCGCACAATAATTTTTCAAGTTTGCACACCATATTTTCTTTTACAGCAACTTTGAATCCTTCTACCTGAGTTATGTAGATTTCCTCCTCCAAGTTTCCATGTAAAAACACAGTTTTTACATCCATATGAACTAGTTCCAAATCCAATTGTGCTACCAAAGCCAACATAATTCTAATGGAGGAATGTTTTACAACTGGAGAAAACACTTCATTGTAATCAATTCCCTCCTTTTGAGCATATCCTTTGGCCACCAATCTTGCTNTCTTTGGCTATCAATCTTGCTTTGTAGCGAACATCTTCTTGGTTAGGAAATTCTTCTTTCTTTGCAAATACCCATTTGCACCCAATTGCTTTCTTTCCCTTCGGGAGATTGGCCAATCTCCATGTATGATTCTGATGAAGGGACTCTATTTCATCATTCATGGCAATCCTTCACTTATCTTCTTCTGAACTTTGGACTGCGTCTTTATAAGTGGTAGGAACATCATCAGCTACAATTGAGGCGGCACAAGCAACCGTCTCTATAAGATGAACAAGTTTTGTAATTGTCCTTTTTGGACTGCTGGTTGCTATTGATTCAAGTTGTTGAGGTTACTGAGCTAAAATCTCCCTCTCTACTGGCTCTTCTCTTAGAAGATAATCTTCATTTGTTTCCTCCTCTGCTTCTTGTGTAGAAAAAATAAATTTTTCCTCAAACTCCACCTGCTTAGAGACACTCTCATTTTGTTTGGTATCTTCTGTTACCTTATTTACTTTAGCAGATTCATCAAAGGTAACATCTCTGCTGAATATTACTTTCTTTGTCATAGGACACCATAAGCGATATCCTTTGACTCCAAAAGTAATCCCCATAAAATAGCCTTCTTTGCTCTTGAATCCAATTTTGACTCTGTCACATGATAATATGCAATTGAGCCAAATACGTGCAAAGAGTCATAATTTACAACAGGCTTTTCATACCATTTTTCAAATGGTGTCTTGCCATCAATAGCAGCAGATGGTAAGCGATTAATGAGGTGGCATGCATATGTAATTGCCTTAGTCCAAAATTCTTTGTCCAAGCCAGCATTGGACAACATACACCATACCTTCTCCAGCAAGGTCCGGTTCATACGTTCTGCCATTTCATTCTATTGTGGTGTATGTCTGACAGTGAAGTGTCTGAAGATGCCATCATTTTTACAGACCTTATTGAAATGATCATTTTTGTATTTACCTCCATTGTCTGTGCGAATACACTTGATCCTCCTGCCTGTTTGATTCTTCACCATCGTCTTCCATTTGAGAAAAATTCCCAACACTTTATCTTTGCTCTTCATTGTATACGCCCACACTATTCGGAAAAAATCATCAACAAAGGTTACAAAATAGTGCTTCCCACCCAGTAAAGGTGTTTTGGAAGGACCCAAACATCAGAGTATACTTAATCCAAAATGCCTTTAGTATTATGGATCGCTGTACCAAATTTAATCCTTGTCTGTTCCCCTTTGACATAATGCTCGCAAAACTCGAAGTTGCAAGCCTTTACTCCTTTTAACAATCCTTGATCTGATAGAGTTTTCAAGGATTTTCCTCCAGTATGTCCCAAGCGCATGTGCCATAACTTGGTTGCTCCTGCCTCTTTGTCGTCACTGAATGTCACTGTCGTTGTCCTACTAACTATACTTCCACGATAGCGGTACAATATTATTGTTCTTCCGATTAGCCTTCATTACCACTAGTGGACCGGAGCATTCTCTCATCACTCCATTTTCTGCAATGATTTTGAACCCTTTTGGTTCTATGGCTCCCACAGAGATGAGATTTTTCTTCAAATCCGGTACATATCGAACATCTGTTAATGTTCTGATCATTCCATCATGGTTCCTTAATCGTATTGAACCAATGCCATATGAGGTAAGAGGGCTGTTATCCGCTGTGTGGATGACTCCATATTCTCCTTCTTGAAATTCCACGAACCAGTCCCTGTTGGGACACATATGATAGCTACAAGCCGAGTCCATCAACCATATGTCTGATGATGTTGATGACTCTGTTGTAACTAATGAGAAGTCTGAATCATCACAATCAGCTACATTTGAATCCATAATGGCCTTTCCATTGTTATGTTTGGCCTTATTCTTCAACTTCGGACAGTCTTTCTTCCAGTGCCCTTTTTCTCGACAAAAGGCACATTCATCTTTGCTGGGTCTAGATCTTGACTTGGATCTTCCCTTCTTTGTCCTCGTTTGATTTTGAGGAGGACCCCTCACAACCAGTGCTTCTCCTTCTCCGCCCTTCTGTTTTTCTCCCTTTCTTTGTTCATAGCTGTACAAAGCCGAACAAACTTCTCTGAGAGAAATTTCGTTAAATAAAAAATTGTGTGGTATTCCTTCCATCCTATATCGTAAAAACAGAAGGGCTTGATGGCACAATATCTCTCACAGAAATTTCTCTCACAATCTTGACGACACAAATCAAGATTATTTCCTTTCTGGTGTGGAAGATCAGACTAAGCTGCAACCACAGAGCATACTCAGACAGAACCTTGACTCAGTTACCAAGATAAATCTTTTCTGATGTGGAAGATCAGACTATGGTGCAACCACAGAGTATACTTAGACAGTACCTTGGCTCTGATAACAATTGTTGCGAAAACCAAATGTATATATTGTGAATGAGTCACAATTACTACACCAAAAAAATATGGCAGTCACCAAATAATAAATAAGACAATAAAACAACAATAAAAGGAACACCAGAATTTACAAGGTTTGGCCAATTTTGCCTACTTCCTCGGATACAACCAATATTTTATTCCACTCAAAAAATACAAGTGAAATAATACTAAAGAGAGAAGATACAAATACCTTAAGAAGATAAGAAGACAAATGAGAGGTGTGTTTAAATCCTAAATATTAGGCCTCCTTTTATAGGGTGAAATTCCTACCCAATTTTCTCCCCAACCGATGTGGGATGTTTTGACATATTCAACAGTACCAAATTAGCATCCACCGCCCTATGAATCTAACTTGGAAAAGAATCACTAACCCAACGTCGTATGCTAAGTCTCCAGTAAATATTTCATCACTTGGTCTCATTCGTGTAAACGTCTCCACCATCAAGATGCCAAAACTATAAACATCACAACTCGTGGATACTATTCCATCTTGTCCATACTCTGCGATTATGGTCAAAATAATTAGAAAAACTTACCAATCTATATCCAGCTGGGCAAAGAATTAGTGTTTTGGGTACTCTAAGGATATGATGAAGTTTTGAAGTTATAATACCTGGAGCAATATATCCAATGGTTGCAATTGTCCTAGTTTGCATAAAAACCTCCCCTGCACCTAACAATTTTGCAATGCCAAAATCACTCACATGGCCAACCATGTCTTGATCTAGCAACACATTGCTTGACTTCAAGTCGCAATGCACCACTGGTGTTGAATAGCCATTGTGGAGATAGTCCATCGCAAATGCAATGTTTATCATTATATCTAATCTCTGCAACATGTCTAAGAATAAGTTATGACTGTATAACAATTTTTCAAATGTTCCATTCGGCATGTATTCCAATACTAAGGCTTTGAAATCGGGGGTGGAGCAACTAGTGATGACTTTAGTAAGATTTCGATGGCAGAGGTTGCGCAACATCTCATATTCTGTATCAAAACTTTTGAATGCACCTTCCAATTGCACATTGAATGCCTTTGCTGCCAAAAGAGTACCATCCTTTAGTATCCCTTTATAGACCATGCTGAAACTCCCATTACCAAGCAAGTTGCTTTCATTGAATCCTTCTGTAGCTTGTTCAAATTCATGATAGGAAATTCTTTCATGTCTTATTAGCAGGGACGGATCTGCTTGACCTGCATTCTTCTTTATCTTTTGCAATCTTAAAAATACATACGCGAGGGCTAATGCAAGAAATAACAGACCCACTCCCAAAGGGACGTACAAAATCAAGATGGTACTAAAAGGTTGCATGCTTGAATGTCTAAAGCTGCGACTCTATGGTGGCGAGAGCTTCAAGTGATTCTAATCTAGTTGCACACTGGGCTGGAAGAAGACCAGTTGCTTGCTAAGATGTAGTTAGGATCTGAAGAAGAAATGTGAGATTTCAAGGCAAGAAGAGCTGCTTCATCAGTGCTAATATTTGGAACAGTAGTGAAGTATTGACATGAAGCAGAAGGAAAACTGCAAGAGCGAAGAGAAGATTGCAACTTCTGTCCATAACAATAACATGAAGGTTTTGCCCTTTTCCTAATACAAGGATGAACAATGCAAGATCTTGGATGATCAATGTAACACTCCTTAAATTTATAAAAGTTTCGAGACACGCTAACTATAGAACTAAATTATTACTATTTTTATTATTTCTATCTTGCCTATAGTGAAATATATATATAAAATTGGATATAAAATTAGGAAAATATTAATAGTTTTAATATTGTTAATTATTAAAATTGGGTAATTATTAAATACTAGTTAAGTAAAAAAAAAGGAAAAACAAATAAAATAACAAACAAAACAAATGGCTTAAAGCCTTGCATTTAATAGTACGTAATTCATTTTAGAAGGAGGCA